GTTGGGTTGGGGTTTTTGTTTCCTGTCAGAGTAGTGAAACACTAGAACGGGTTCAAGCATCTGCTCCTTGAGGTGTTCCCAGTTTACCAAGAGTTGTTCTTGTCCTTTCTCACTGGGGTTGGGGTGTTGGAGCCTGCAGGAGCAGTGAGGCAGCCCGGGCAGAGCTGTCACTGCTGTCACTGCTGTCACTGCTGTGTGTGACCACGTTCCTGATGTGCTGGGCGGGCTGCAGCTCTGCAGTAGCTGTCACTGCTCTCCACTGCACAGGGAGACCAGAGCTGGCCCTCACCAGCAACCTCACCTTGACCTCTCTTCCACTGCCTATTTGTGAAGAATTCATGGAGTGAGGAGGTTTTATGTCTGCTCAGCTCTCTGTTGCAGAAGGAAAAAAAAGCCATGTATGAAAAAAATGAAGAAAAGAGGGGATTTAGAGACAGCTGGAATTGCAATTAATTTAATATGTTGTTCYGTGTCTGAAAATAGTTAACTCTGGRTGTTTCAGAACCARCATCTCAGTCTAATTWTCTTAAATCARATATGRTGAAGTWCYTTATTTTTCAGGAGCTAAACTTTGGGAGAACTTGTAGTACAATAAATACAAGAATCTGGTGACTGCCGGCCAATATTGTCTCTTTAAGGCTGTGCTGAGGACAGCCTGGCACATCGCATGGATTCACCRTTCCTGGTGGTGCCTCTTAGTGCTGCTTCACTGATTGTTCGTGCAAGGAGGAGTTTCCCCAAGGTCCCTGCAGATGCTTGTGTGCTCCTCCCTGGAGGTGGATGCCGGTGGGAGCTGTCAGGACGCGCCTACAGCTGCCGTGACTCCCATCCCCAGGAGCTGAGGCAGCTGAACAAGGAGGAGAGCAGCCCTGGCACGAAGGGCAGCGATGTGCGATCCTGCAGAGCCGAATGCTCACCCCGATGGGGAAGGCAGCGCTTGGATTTGGCTCTCCTCCCATCCCCGGGAGCTGTGCCCGTGCCATCCAGGGTAAGTCAGCAGAGGGCAGCCCTCTAACGCCCTTTGCAGGACCATTTCCCTGCTGCACAGCTGGAGCATCCTCCTTTGGCAGGCCGGGAGAAGCCAGSGAGTGGCTGTTCAGTGCCATTGGCACCCCTAGCCATGGGTGACACGGGACACAGCCCCCAGAAAGCACCAGCCATGGCTCCGGTGTCTGAGAGCTGCTCTGGCCATGCCCAGCCTCGCACAGTGTTTGTATCTCTGCAGATCTCACAGATTCCCCCTGAGCACACCGGCAGCCCAGGAGTGTGTCTGATCGATATATCCGAGTACAATGTTTGTACAGGAGGGACAAGCTGCTCAGAAAGTGATGTTTAAGGAGTTCTTCACGTGGGGACCCGGGGCAGTCTGTGTCTTGGCTTTGCTCTCAAGASAGGTGAGTGTGCAGATGTCATTACAAGGCCACTTCGTGGTTTGGGGGTTTTGGTTTTTTTTGTTTTTTTTTTGGTTGGTGTTTATTGTTGTTTGTTTGTTTTGGGGAATTTTTTTATTAGTTTTGTGTTTGCTTTTGTGGGTTTCTCTGCGGGTTTTTTTTTTTTTTTTTTTTTTGGTTTGGTTTTTGGTGGTTTTTTAAAAAATTTTGAAGTACTTCAAAGGCCCTCAGATAACCAGTGAAGGTGGTGAAAAATGGAATTATTGGCTAATAGTACTAAGTGCCTTTTATCACATATGGCTTGTGAGAAATTAAATCTTAAACCTGCCACTAACCCTTCAGCACCTTTGGGAGGTTTGCAGGGTTGGTGTAGGAGTCCCCTGCCTCTGGTTCCAGACCTTATATCAGTGTYAGCTGCACTGACAGATGTTTGTCCAAAAATCATTATTTCTCAGTGCATTTTCTGTGCTGTAGTGCTGCTGGTAAGTGGGAAGGATTCCACTCTCAGTTTAATATGATGTCCTCTGCAAATTTTCTCTTCCTGTAGTCCGTGCTGTCCAGCAGAGCTGAGGAGGATGTGTGGCAGGAGAGCTGTTTTGCCCAGGCTGGCTTCACCTTCCAGTGTGCATCCTCACTGGGAACTACAAACTGCTGCTCTGCTCACCCTCTGATCAGCCAGGCAGGTGCAGGATCAAAATGCCATCAGGACTTCAAGGCTGTGGTCCCAACAAAGGTGAAAACGTTAGCACAGTTGAGTTTGTGAGTTCCCCAAGGCAGAGTGAGTTCAAGTTTGTCTGAGGTAGTGCAACTCCTCAGCACCTCCAGAATGCCCCTGTGTGTCCTTGGGTGCTTTTCTTATGCTGATAAACCATTACTGGCCCTTCTTCCCTGTGAAAAAAGAGATGAAAATGACAATCCTTGCAGCCCTGGGTTTGTCTGTCACAGCAGTGCTGTGGCTGCTGTTGTCTTGCCTCAACACTCCTTGTGCTTGACACTCTGACTCTGATGTWTAGTCTGCCCAAGAGGGAGTCAAGCTTTGTGCAGGTTGTTTTCATGTGATGTGTCCTTCCCTTTGCTTTTATTTTCCTTTTCATTCTTTGCTTCAAAAAACAGCCTCACTGTTCACTGCTCTTCCCTGGGATGCTRATGGGCAGCTCTTTGCATGAAGCCCCTCACTGGCACCAAACCAGGCTCTTAAYCCTTAGTGGGAACTTTTTGCTTTCTGTCTGGATAAAAAGGGGGGTGGGAGCTTCAGGGAGGATTTTATTTCCTGTCAAGTGGCTGTCACAGCACTCTTCTCCCTGGACAAACACCCCGGTTCTGGGAGCTGTTCCTAAGGTAGCAAACAGAAGGCAGAAATGATCAACATGGGGTGGTGACCCCAGTCTTTGGTGTGGGCTCTCCTGCAGTGCCCAGCCCTCTCTGAGCTGAACCAGGGGCTCTCCCCAGCAGCCAGGATGAACAGGGCTGCCCTCACTCTGTGACAAGCATCCTTGTGTTACCTGTCCTCTCATGGCCAGGTGATGGAGACATAATTTTATTTGCTAGTTCACCCCAGTGCAGTCTCTGGAACTGTGCTGTGCGGATTTGAAGTTGTTGATAAAATTTCTGCAAGAACACTCACGGGTGTAGAGATAAGGAAGTGAACCTCTCTGTGCTGCTGCTGGAATTGTGCATCACAACACTTCTCATTTAACTTAGGTTTGGAAAACCCTCATGTTTGTGAAAATGCAAATTCTTCAACTCACCACCYTTTTCTTTTTCTAACATCCTACATTTAATAGATATTTGATAATTAACAATAAAATTTCAGATTTGTTTTGCCTCTGATGTAAAAAATCAGAGCAATGCTTCATATGAAACGGCTGCCCCTTCAGTGAACTGCTAAAAAGCAGAACAATAACAGGCTCACATGCTTTAGGAGTCAMAAATAACATTTTGAATGGTTTGGATCATAATGGCTGTATTCATAACCCCCTACAGATTGGCTCTCATAATCAAAACTATTTCTCTATACATTGTGTGATTTATGGCATGCTTATAATTCCAGTGAGATCCTTGTATATAGTATTTAATCAGCCCTATGGCACAATGTGTGTAAATTCCTCAAGCATATGAGTGTATGGCAACTCTGTCCAATTCAGCATCTTGCTGTGAACACACAACACACAATAAAATAAGCAAAAAAAAAAAAAAAATTAAAAGGCTTTCATG